ACTGGTCACCAACGCGAGTGGTCGCCTTGCGTCATGGGCAGACTTACACAGACCGTTGCAAACCTTGGGTTGGAGACTTGAGAGTCGAGAGTCTTGGACGCCGTTCTCGGAGATATCGGACATGTTGAGCACCGACCGCCGGCGAGTGCTCATCGTCTCAACACATGGGAGCCTGAGCCAGATCGTGTTCCATGCTTGCCGGTCAAGTTGGTAGTTGATGATGTCGTGCGTAAACCGGTGGGAATTACCCAACTTGTAGTTAGTGAAAAGGATGGCCCCGTGTTGTCGACTGACAACGCAACGTAACGCCGAGTAATCAAGATCGCTTTTTCCGAGAAGCTCGGAGGTACTGGCCGACACCAGTAACTCACCGAGCCTCACCGGAGACAGGTGTGTCATTCCAGTCAGGGTCTATCGGTGAGCTAATCACGGCCGCTTCCGAGGTGGGCTGAGCCAATGGAAAGTGTTGCATTGCTGGCCGTGGCCGATGCAGGCGCCCTGCCCCACCCACCGGCTTGCCGGTCTAAGCTCCGACCTCGATCGGTGCTCCCTCCCCTGCTATTCCCATGCTCCCATGCTCTTTTCCCTCCCACTTCATTCTATTTCCGCGCACAGAGGGTGACTGGCATTCGTGCGTACCAGAGTTGGCTCCCGTCCATCTTCCAACCCCCACCTACCTTTACCCTTGCCTTACCTTACCTGGCTGCTCTGCTGCTGTTGCGGCTGCGCCTTCCAGTCGCCTGTCTAGTGAAGCCCAACCCACCAATCCCAACAACCCTCCAAGAGTCACCGAAAGATAACTTCCAACGCCAATCGACCAAACACCAAGGAACCAATTTAACAGCTTACCGCCTAATCGGATGGGCTGCTGTGATTCTGGCATGCTCTAGGCTCGAGTCTCGTGTCACGTCTGTTGTCTCTGGGTGGGTAAAGCTGGAGCCAAGAGCAAAACAGCGTCGCAGGATTGATCCCCCGCCATTTGTCAGCCTTCTCAGCTCTGGTAGCCAAACTGTGTGTGTCACCACCGCCGCACTCAGTCGAATCCTATCCCTCAAACCCCAATTCAAACCTTCGTGAGCCTCTCCTCCCCGACTACAACCGCCACTGCGAACGACCAAATCTCTCTTACGGCGTCTGCGTCCCTAGACAATCGACGGACGACCGACAAGACAGACACCATGGACAACTTCTCGCCGACAAGTCAACAGTCGAACCCCACGACGCCAGCCAACGCCATGAATGCCAACCCCCACCATTCGCCAAACTCCCCGACCATTCACGACTTTCCTGCCCTCAGCCGACATGGCGCGACCTCTATACCTCCCGATCAACCCGTGGCCATGACGGCCTCCGGCCAGCCAGCCCTCAATCCCCGAAGCTGCGTCACCTGCCGCCGACGAAAGGTCCGCTGCGACAAGCAAATGCCGTGCAGCAACTGCCGCCGTGCCGTCATCCAGTGCATCTACCCGGCCCCCGGCCGCGCTCCTCGCCGTCCCAGACCGAAAGACCCGAATGCGCCGCCCAAAAACTCGAGCGAGCGTGAGGTCGAGCTCATGAAGCGCTTGCGCAAGTTGGAGGGCATCGTAGAGGAGCTTAGCGGCCAGATCGAGGTCGAGAGCGGCACAGGGAGCAACAGTGGTCGCCACAACTCGAGTACAGGCAATTCGCCCGAGGCTTTTGGTAACGACCTGAGCTCTGAACGCGCCGGTAGCACTTCGAGCGGCGCTGCCGTCATGAGTGCATTCAAGGAGGCTGTCACGCCCAACAGGATGGAGACGGACCCAGAACCCAAGAAGCCGGTAGAGAGGCAAGCAGGCATAAGCAGGTCCTTTGGCCGACTTGTGCTTCACGACAAGGGCAAGACGAGCAGATACGTGAGCAGCGCATTTTGGTCCAAGCTCAATGACGAAGTGAGTCACCCGAGTCATGTTTTTGCTCCCAAAGTGCTGACAAGGATGCCATAGCTTGACGAGCTTCGAGAAGAGACGCATGCGTTGGATCAAGATACCGATGATTCAGATGTCGAGGACACGCCGGACCACTCTCCAATACAGGACACCGACGCTGCGACGGACCACCATGCCTTTATCCTGGGATACCGGTCTTCCGATGTCGACTTGCGCAAGCTGCATCCCTTGCCATCTCAGATACCTTTCATGTGGCAAGTTTACCAGGAGAACGTGGAACCGTTGCTCAAGATCTTGCACATTCCGACCATGGAGAAGCTCATCCGCGACATGCGACGCAATATCGACGAGCTAACTGCCGGTAACGAAGCTCTGCTGTTTTCTATCTACTATGCAGCAATCACATCGATGGAAGATGAAGAGGTGAGTCCATGTCATGTCAAATACACACGCACTTAGCCGTAACTAACCTGTTCACAGGTGGAGAAGAATTTTGGATCAAAGAAGGAAGAGATGCTCTCGCAGTATCGCTTCGCTCTCGAGCAGGCACTCGCAAAGGCCAACTTCCTCAATACCTCCGATATGGTGGTTCTCCAGGCTTTTGTCATGTTCCTCACGCTGGTCCGCAGGGAGGACGACACCCGATTCTGCTGGACGCTGACTGGGTTGGCGATTCGTATCGCGCAAGGACTGGGCATCCACCGCGACGGAACAAACTTCAATCTTCCTCCCTTTGAGACCGAAATGAGACGCCGCTTGTGGTGGGCTATCTGCACTCTGGACCTTCGCTCTGCAGAAGAGCTTGGCAGCGATCTCACCATCATCGACCGATCGTTTGACACCGAACTGCCCTCTAATTTGAATGATTCAGACATTGAGCCGGGGATGGCAGAGGTTCCCAAATCGCGCCTAGGCAAGACCGACTGCGCCGTATCGCTGGTGAGATACGAAATCTGTGCATTGTCACGGCGGTTACACACGGTGGGATCGGCCATGGCTGGTGTCTGTCCAAAGGACGCCGCATCGAGTCTCGAAGAGCGCGAGCGCATGCTTATCGAAGTTTACGATCGGGTCGAGGAGAAGTTTCTCAAGCATTGCTTCACCGACGACGACCCCCTCTTCTGGATGGCGGCCATGATCGCCCGTGTTATCATGGCCAAGATGAGTCTCGTCATCTATCAACCGATGCTGTTCCCTGGCAACGGCCATGAACTATCCAACGAGATCCGCGACAGGCTCTTCATCTCGGCCATTGAAATCGTTGAATACAACTACATCCTAAACACAGATCCCCGCTGCAAGCAATGGCGTTGGCTCTTCCAGACCTATAGACAGTGGCACGCGATTGCCTACATCCTCATGGAAGGCGGACGTCGGCCATGGTCAGCGACCTCGGAGCGAGGGTGGGAAGCTGTCAACAACACGATGCGATTCGATAGGGACCCGTCGGAAATTTCGAGGATGGCAGATCATATGGCTGTATGGGTACCGTTGCGGAAGCTTAGCGCAAAGGCGACGAAGCACCGCGAGGCGGAGATTGTCCGTCTCAGAGCCGATCCGGAAGCGGCACGCCAACTGGACGTAGACGATCGTATGAATCCCATCCCGGCCAGACTTGGACCGGTGCCCGGAATGGAAATCAAGCACCTGCAGATTCGCACCCGCTGGCGGAACCTGGTACGGACGGATGGCGGCTCCAGCCCCCTACCACCGCCGGCTAACAACGTAACGCAAAATCAACCCGTGCAGCAGCAGCAGAGCGTAGCGCCTCGAGGTCCGGTTCCCCAGCCTGCGAACCCGACAGTTCAGGCTCCGACGCCCGCACCGCAGCAGAGAGAGCCCGAGTTCATCGACACGGTGATGATGGCGCGCGGCTTCAATCCCAACCACATCTGGGAGTATATCTACCCGACGGCGGAGTCCATGGCAGCTGACCCGAACAATACGCTCTTCCCGCCCAGCGCCTCGCAGCCGCAAGCGTCGCAGTCTATGATGTCCTCGGCAGTGCCATCACCTGCAATGTCAACTAGACAGGGTCTTGATAACGAACAGCAGCTGAAGCAGCAGGCCATCGCGATGCAGTCCCAACCTACGGTAGCGTCATCTCTGGGGGACAACCAGCCTCCGTGGCTGTGGTCTGACCCGTTCACGTCCATCAATAATGTGCCCGTTGACTCAATGGACGTCAACATGGACAACTTGGATGACTTCAACTGGCAGAATTGGCAGGAGAGCATCAAGGGATTCGAGATGGATCCGGATAACATGCCCCAGAAGGGAGCATGGTAAAGATGTATAATGTTTGCGGTGTAGTATGTGCATGGTTTCTTTAGGATGTGGATTTTGGATGTCTCCTCTCACGCGAAGGCTCTTGGAGAGCTATGTAATGATACCCTACGGAAGCAGATGTAATGAATGATGATTTACTTTTCACACTTGGTGCAACGCTTCGCATCATCCATGATTTGCGACTATCGACTCCATGCTTTATGGATATGGGCCCCTCTCCATCGTCGGAGCATCCGCCTCAACCTCAACCCCGTCCGCCCACATCCACTCGACGCCGACCTAACCACCACCACCATCTCCACGCCCTTGCCCTAAGAGCGGGCTTCTCTTCCACGACTCTCAACAATAACTTGGTCTGGTGGTGTAGTTGGTTATCACGTCAGTCTAACAGCTCGAGAGCCTCACCTCTCTCGTCTGTCACACTGAAGGTCTCCGGTTCAAGTCCGGGCTAGATCATGACATGGGCGATTGGTTTAGTGGTATAATGACCGCTTAGCATGCGGTAGGTCCTGGGTTCGATTCCCAGATCGTCCATTATTTTTGAGGGATTGAAGTATGGGTGGTGGTGGTGATGTTGTGGTTGGTGTTTTGAGGTTTTGGCTGTCTTTGGTGGTGATGCTAAGCGCTGTGTCGCAACGGTAACGGGTGTGAGGGGCTCGGTCTTGTCAGCGGCTCTGTTCCTTTCTTAATGTGCCATGCCTATCTTTATCAATGCTAAAACCGGCTAAAGACCATTGTTACAGATTGCAAGTGTACTCTTATCCACAGCCTGGAGGCGAAGTACGAACGAAGTGTATTGATGCGGTGAGATGGTGTCACCTAGAGCAAGCGAGAACAAACACATTTTGCCCAAGGCTGACCAGGCTGATTTTCCCAGGTGGCCCCGCAAACTGCAGCTATGCGACTTAGCCGATCAATACGTTTTTACCCTTTACCAACGACCTTTGCTCTCCATTCACCGGCCCAACAGAGTGCGACCAACGCGAACAGAGTCCCTTGTCCGACAAAGACGAAGTGAATACATTTGCCGTCCTGAATGGGCTGAATAGGTATCGAGCCGAACAAAGAGCGAAGCGAATGAAGGGTGCGTTTGGATCTGGCAACGCAGGTATATGAGTCAACCTCGAGCCCGATGAATAACCACTCATTCTCCATCAATTCAAGACAAATCTCGGAGCTTCAGTGCCACGACGCTTGCAATTAAGAGATATTTATATCTTGTTTGAGCACTTTAGAAGGCTTGCGCTGCGAGTGCTACCTGTTCACTCCTTTTATAGCCTTGGAAAGATCGTAGGGCAAACATGGCGCCCCCACCTTTACACGACGACCCCCAATTCCACCACGTCCGCTCAGGCGTCACGGCCATCATCGAGCGACATGGGAAAGTTATCATCGGGATGCGCAAGGCCAGTCACGGCATAAGTGAGATTCAACCCCTCCCCAGCACTCGTCACCAGAGGACATGGTATTGGCGGCCTTGAAACTGCTTCCACGTTCCTCAAAGCGCTCGCGGACCTTGCCATCGTCCCGGCGCCCAAGGACTTTGGTTACTACTTCGGTCCTTATGCTCACTGATCCGTGAATTGATAGACAAAATGCAGATGCCCGGAGGTCACCAAGAAATATGGGAGAAACCCGAAGCGTGCGCGGAACGAGAGACGTTCGAGGAGACTGGTCTTGTTGTGAAAGCCATCGCGCATGGGCCCACCACTGACGATCAATTTTTGGAGGAAAGGAAGCATTATAAGACGCTTCATATATGGTGCAAGATGGTTGATGAGACTGCTGAGCCGAAGGTGAGTGGAAGAACCTGCCGTTTATTTCCCCAGGTTGAGGAGTGAGAGAGGGTGACGTTGGATGCTTGATATGCGTTGAGGAAATAGCGTGACTGACTTCAGGTTGAAACAGGCAAAGGAGATGGATAAGTGTGACAAGTGGATGTGGAAGTCGGCGAAGGAGCTGAGGGAGTATTTCAGACAAGGCCAGGCGTTCAAGCCATTAGAGAATCTGGTAGGGCAGTCTCCTGAGAACGACGTTCTGGCGAAACTTGAAAATCGTGCCGAGGCCCACGAGAAGGCCGTTGAGCTAGCTGAGAAGGCTAAGCTCGCTGAGCAGGCTAAGGTTGACGAGCAGGCTACAGACGTGGAAGTAGACGTCTAGACCTCGCATTGAACATCAAGGCAGGGACCTAGAGGTCTAGGACGTTAGCGTTTGCTTTTACGTCAGTGAAGTACCGCAACCAGATCGTAAGAAAGAGAAAAAAAGAATAGAAAAGTTTGTACATACTGAACGATTTGAGCAAATAGGCGTAGAGTTTGCGAGAGCCGGCGACAAAAGTCGCAACATAGCCGGGTCTGAGTCCGCGGTGTCATGCATGATTTGCTCCTTCGGATATCTCGCACTTTCACCAGAATATCCACAGGCACTTGTATCCGTAGTCGGGCAGATGGGGTCACCTCAATTCATCAACAACCATGTACAGGATGGTCTTTGTAGATCTCACTGGGGTAGGAAAGAGGCGGAGACGTAATTACGGCTTTGAGATACAAGCTTTGGGTGGATGAGAAGCGGTTAGGCTGGCCCAAGGCCGGGCCATTGGGAACCAAAGTTCCATTTCGAGCACCTTCCTGCACTGCTGCGCGTGGCAATCGGGGATGGCTTGGGCCACTGCGGGCGAGAACTTTGGGAGAGGGAGTTGGGCTGGTTCCCTGGATTGACGGAAAGGCTCGATGACGTTCAATTGCTGTTGATATGTTTGGGTGGGCGATGGAAGTGATGATGCGATGCGGAAGATGTTACCGCCCCCAAAGTTTGTAATATTGATTCCCAAAGGAGGAGTCGAGACATTGATCAAACCAACTGGCTGTCAGTCTACAGAGCAGAGGCAGACAGTGGACATGGACAAAGCAAGGGTACAACCCCGGCAGCCCGGTAGATTGTTCGCAAAATTCACAGCTCATAGCACCAAACTTTCGAAATAAGAATGAAATATCCGTACTCTTAGAGTTCAGGTTTGGCCCCGAAGACCTCCGGGAGTACGGGCCCTACGGAGCACGGATACGGACAATTCAGCGAGTGTCTAGTCTCAGCGGTGGCCGACCCCTGTCCTGTTCTGACGGAGTCTGCAGCCGAGATTTGTCAGTTCGAAATTTGGCTGTCACTCACTCTACCGGGGACCGGGGCTGCAATCCTTCTGCCTGGAGGATTTGCTTCAGGCCGTCCAGGTGGCTCCATCTTGAACACGACGTCAGCTCCGTGCTGGAGGAGAGTCCTGAGTGGGAAGTGAGGACATGCTTCTTCGTGTTAACGTTGTTGGCTGTTGCCTTGGTAAAGCTGACAAGTGGAGAACATAAAGAACGAATGTCGACATCTGTTTAAGCATGTCGGATGTGAACTCCGTTGAACGGGGGACTTGCTGGGTTCGGCAGGGTTGGCTTCCATCGTTCAGGTCTGTCGCGTGGTTTCTGAGGAATCGACTGCTGGTTTCTTGTATGTGATTACAAACTCATCATTCTTGGTATTTGAACTTTCCGAGCACCTGGAATCAATACATCTTCCGATCTGACGGGTCGAAAAGGAGGTCTCGTTGGCCGCGAGCAACATGGCCTCGAGTTGGCGATGAAACTCTGTAATATGCTGTGATTGACCAGTTTGCCGCGCAGACTGCGTTGGCAGCCGGGCCGTTTAAAGCGAGTGCCTCAAGCGGCAATTTCACAGCGATCAGTGGCTTAGACTTGGCCAGGGCTTCCCCTCCGGAAGTATGAGCTTGGCGACTACCGTTACATCTTCCTGTAGCCCTGATACGAGTTTATCGAAAGCATGAGTTGATGAGGCCGTTCCTACACACGATGGTAGGGTGCCACTGGCAGCTCAGCTCTATTGCGACTGCGTCAGTGAGAGACTGAGAGCCAGGGAGAGAGAGGCAGAGTTTCAAATCTCACTTGCATCTCGCAGGCCCTGCCATCTCAACCTCCCCAGGTGCACGGCCGCTGACAGAGTTATTCGACCGCCTTAATGGGCTGCCTAGGCCTACCAATAGGTCATCTTCTGGTCGCCCTTCCGCCACCCCTGGCTAGCGGGCGCAACCGCGCCAAGGATCATGACCTTGCCCGCTGGACACCATCTCGTTGCCTACGAGCTTTGATAGGGGCATCCATTACAGCTTGCGGCTTTCGATGCTGCTATTCCCTTTGGGGAAGTGTCTTTCGAGATGGAGTGCTCGATTCGAGTAAAGAGAAAACCAAAGTCCCTATTCCCAGGCCCAAGAGCGTCAACAGTGCTGCCCGCTCGTAGCGGGACGGGCAAGGGTAAGGAACATGGTTTGGTTCTTGCTTTCCCACAACCGTCGATCATTCATCACGGTCCACGGAGCCTTGGAGGATTGCTTGTCCTGTGCGTCTCCCCTGCTCTTGAAGATTGGTGAAGGTCTTAGAGGATGGGCCGGGGCTTTAATAATCTGCTTGCTGCCGGCCCTTCTCTTCTGGGTGTTGTAAGTGTATATCTTGGCTGCCACCCCTCCGAACCGGCTCGAGATGTGGTTCTTCAGAATTTTTGCCTTTTGAGTTCATGCCCTTTCATTACATAGTCACGGTCAACTTGGCACCCTTAATCTCAGTCGTTACTTGATACCTGAAGCATCTATCCATCGAGTCGATTAGTGGTGGACATAGGCGAGGAGTGTATCACATCATTCGAATCAACAATGCCATCAAGTTCACCGGAAAGACACTTGGTCGCACCGGACAACAGCAACATCGCTTCCAGACAGGCATCCCAAGACTCGGACCGCGAAGTGAAATACCAGACAGGATTGATGCCCGCCGAATATGCGGGCCTCGAGGTGGCCTCGCCCTCGCCGGGCATGAAGTACTACCAGCCTGCGCCGGGCGCCGCCCCTGAACCGGTACCGGCACCAGCGCCGGGCGGATACGCGCCGTACCAAGATCAAGATCAGCACAACGGCTCCGGGTACGAAAGCCACCAGTACCCCGCACATTCAACGGTCGGGGCTGGATACGGCGGAAGCCAGGCGGGGATGCCGCCGAAGAAGAATAAGAGGATATGGGGCATCCCCGTGGCGACGTTTTGGGTAGCTATCGTCGCGTTGGTTTTCTTTCTGGGGACGATTGGTGCGTCTGCTGCGGCTGGAACGATCGCACAGGCGCATGCGGCGTATGTGCAGACGTGCCAAGCGTAAGTGAACATGAGCGGCCAAATTTTGGAAGCAACAGAGTCTGACATCAGAGCAGCAAACTCGAGCAAGCATCATCACCATCAGCGTGCGCTTCGAGCGGATCATCAGCAGCATCCGCATCAGCATCAGCCTCGGGGGCCTCAGCGCTCTCAGCATCAGCCTCAGCAACAGCATCATCAGCATCCTCCACTTCAACCTCACTCGCCTACATCCCGCTCCCAGGCCAAGCCTCCTCAATTCTGGGCGAAGCGACGACAAACTGCCCCGACCTCAGCTCAGAGAACAAGACGTACACGGTACCGAACTCGAATCTGCGCTTCGTGCGCGAGTGCGGCAACAATTACCCGATGAATGACCTAGGCCACATCCCGCTGACGAGGATGGAAGACTGCATGAACCTGTGCGCGGCACTTGCTGTCACGACGCAGAGCGCTGATGGGCCTTGTGTGGGTGTGGCGTGGGTTACGGCGGGGAAGCAGGGAACGGATGAGAATTATTGCTGGTTGAAGAGTGCCAAGGGGGCGCCGGATCCGAAGGCGAATATCGAGGCTGCATGGCTTGTGAGGACGTGAGAGAGGTCCCAGTCGGGAGTGAGTGAACGTCGTGAGTGAGATAAGCGAAATGAGATGAGAATGAGATGAGACTAGATGAAATGAGATGGGACACTTCTGAGTGGCGTTGTCATCTACATACTCTGATACCACGATTGTCATGTTTACGTTTGCCGATTAATCGTCCTACGATAATACAAACGCAATTCAATATTGAATACTTTGAAGAGGGTAGGCTGAGTTGGGCAGATGCTTCCAAGCCTGTAGATTTCACGACGTCACTCGATCATACCTTGACTGAGCTTGAGAAGATGGCGGCTGCATTTCAGCGTGCGGAGGCTGGGCGAAGTTGGGGTTCCCTTGTAATCCATGTCACGACCTGACATTGCGCTCATAGCAAAACCACAACTTCAATTTTCCATTTTGAGCCCAGAGAGGGCCGCTCGTGAAGACATCTTGGATGCGCCGGTCTTCTTCCTTGCCACTTAGGGCGAGTGGCCAGGCCCTACTCCATAATACATAGTCTTCCGTAGTGGGTTTGGCGTTGTTTTCAGGTGGTCGTACGGTGAATAAAGGAAGAGAGAGCACGGTTAGTTAAGGTTTTCGTCAGGGAGGGGTGACCTCACCAGACGCGTCCATCCTTGTCGATGTTTAGTTGGCGACGTGACTCTACTTACCTGAAATACCGAGTTTCAACGAGCATTTCATCATCAACACCGTCGATACAAATCTTGCCTAAAAACCTTGCCATCTCGCAAATTCTTTGGGTCATATACCTGATCTTCAAACTGCCAAACACCCAGCCAACCCCTGGTAGCATTTCAACGACGCGTGCGCGCTCACCTGCTGTGGGAACTTATCGTGGGACCACGCCACTGAAGCTCCCATCACTTTGCCATATCCCCTTGATTTCAACAACTTTCATCACCAAAGCCGGCCACCAAGCTCGCTATATGGTTTACCTGTCTCTCATACGACTTGAGCAGTATCGATAATCGCCTCTCTGCGTACTCATTGCTCCTCGATCATCGAGCTGCCTACACTACAACTGCCCGCCCTTCCCGAAGCGCCACCTAAGCAATATCACGCTACCACCCCTTTGTGCATATTTAAAGACTCGCAAGGTCTCTGCGCTTGGTTCACTATGGCTTCCAAGAACCCAGCAAGAGCCGCGAGGCCAACCGCAATGGTCAAAACTCGAGCGGCGGCCAGGGTAAAGGTAGCGGCAAAGGTATAACTAAAAGCAAGGGCAAGGACCGACGAAATGGAAAGGGACAAAACGGTGATAGCTTGCTCCAGTGTTTTGAGCGCCATTCACGCTTCGTAGAATCCTTGTCCAAACCCGATGCCACTCCCCAAACGTCTGATCGCGAATTCAGGAGATATGAGAACGATCGGAATAGGTTGGCGAAATTAGCAAAGTCTCCGAAGGGACTTGAATATTGGCTAGCCGAGGAGAGACGGAAATAAGAGGAAACGAAGAAAAAGAATTTACGGGAAGCGAAAAAGGAGGCCGAACGACAGGCTAAGGATTCGCGGACACAAGATGAGAGGGAATACGCGCAGCTTGTTCATCAATGGCACTCGACGGAGTCCGAACGTGGCATGTCCGCGTTCCAAAAGTGTCTCAACCTCGACCGACAAGAAGTCGATTCTGCATCTCTACCTACACACTCGCTCGAGACCCCCGTGTGGTTCTCGCTTTGGTCGACCAACATATGCGAAAATTGGGGCCATGTCGACATCCCCAACGGTATTCTCTGCCTCAAATGCGACCACCTCGCCACGTTCCAAGCCGGCGGGCAGATGTGTAGAGGCACCATCATTTGGAATAAACGGCCGCTGAAGATCATGTTGTTGCCTTTTCCATATCCGGATGTGGCATATCCCCCCAAGTCGTAGAAACTCTTTTCTCTTGCTTGCGCGGACGGCGCGGCTCTGGGTGGAAATCGGGACGAGCACTGTACAGCATACATCTGTATCTACGACAGGGAAAGATTGAGATTAACCCTGCACAGGGATCTCATCAATCCGTCTAGCTTCACCAGCAGATGGAAGAATCCTCGCCATTTTACCACAGAATGGGTCGACATCTGGGGCGTAAGGGGAGAGGCAAGCCAGGTCCAGAATGCCCTTTCAGCCACGCCCAGCATTTCCAGGGGTCAACCCTCTGGACCATTGGAAAACGAAAACAACTTTCCGTCCGGCAGCGCCGGCCCTCGAGACGTGAAAATGGAGCACTTCGAAGAAGATCCAGTCTATGTTGACGAAGAGGACCAGGTTCTTTTGAAAAATGAAGACCAGACTCTTGTTGACTAGGAAGACCACATTTAATTCGATGAAGGAAATCAGGTCTTTATTGACGAAGAGAGGGAGCAAGGGGAGGAGGAGGAGGAGGAGGAAGGCTATGAAGAGGAGGGCCATGAAAAAAATTATCAAGGCTATGAAGAAGATCATGAAGAGGAAGATTACGAAGAAGACGAGGATGAACCGGATGCGGAAGAGACTGATTCAGAATATGGGAATGAGCCGTACGATCTCGACGATATGGAATCTTGCCTCAAGGAACCGCCAATACGCTCTTGGCGAGGATCAAGTCCACCTTCAGATGATTACAAGCCTCGAGTTAACACGCCTCCGCCACTGCGCTCTACTCAACCCGACCCCGAAGAGTAAAAGGCAATTCTGAATGGACGTCCTGTGGAACTTTAGTATGTGGGCAAGCCTCTTGACGAGGCGAAGGAGTACCGACACTACGATCCTAGTTTCCGGGCAGACTGGCTGCAGAAGGAGCTCGAGGCGAGGTGGTCTATTTACAACGCCGAGGTTCAAGCAGTGGAAACAGATATTGCGCTTCGGTACAAGCTTCATGAGGAAATGAAGGCCAGAGTCATTCAAGAAGACCAGGCGATAACAGTGGCCCGGAGGGAGCCGTGTTCCGCGTCCTTTCCGCAGTTCGATACCCCTACTAAATACACCGGGGACGAGTACCACGGCAACCAGTGGAGGCTTTATTCGCCCGAGTTTTTGAGGACCTACTCCGACCCTTTCATGGAGTGCAGTTTTAATAACTACTTCGTCATGAGCAGAGAGAGCGACCGACAAGACTGTACGCGCTATTGCAATGCCTCCATCCACCTCACTTGCCGCGAAGTCACAATCGACCTGTGCCCTGAAGAGTGGCCCAGAACAGCAAAGGGCTTCAACAGGCCATTCTTCGCTACGGTATCAGAAGTTGCTCATTACGCCAACGAGGAGTGCCACCTCATAACCAAACCTCAATCGCGGGTAGCGGTGGCGCTCGTGACCTCGGACTTGATCAAGGTATCAGTGCAAAGCAGTCCCATCAACCCCCCAGAGCATAGGGACAAGTGGGAGCCTCGCGAGAACTTCGACCGACAAATACCAGCCGTTTTCGAGTTCTACGGGGTACTGAAAAGCAGGAGTGATGGAGAGTATGACGCGGTTGATTGTGAAGCAGTCACGCGTTTGTGGGGGTCGAGGGCTAGACGGGACAGAGAAGCGTTCGACGGGAAGGACAGAAAAGTTAATGTCGAAACTCAAGTGGACAGTATAGAGCCAAGTGGTGCACCACGCGTCGTGCTCTGGCCGGACTCGCCATGGTGACATGGAGCATTGAAAGTGGAGGGCAGTAGATTAGACTCTTGTTAGCTCTTAGCCATGAAAGTGGCATACTCGAAGTGTCGTTTCAATCAAATTGAGCAGTTTCTTCTCAGTAGCATCATTACCTTGTGATGTCTAGTTGCTAGAGGTGATCTTGCTTCGCAGTCAATCGGACATGACAGGGAAGCTTTTGCAAACCGACCAACTGCGTCACCATCAACGACGTCACCAGAATCTTTCTCGGTTTCTTCACAATGAATAAATACCATTCAGTCGCAGTCGGTTGCAGAAAGCGACAATCCCTCGCAGGACTTCGAGAATCTGTGATCCACTGTTACGGTCGATGGCTGGTCAGGGGAAACACCGCTCGAATTCATCTTGTGAAAAGTTCATCACTGGGTACATTAGGACATGAAGAGATATGTGCTTGATTGACCTGCAAATCCTGCAGTTATACAAGTATTTACAGCTCGAACAGAACCCTTGACTCCGAGACATCCAGTCCGAATCGCAAAGGACCTGTCTAGAAGCGTGATATACAGAGAAGAATAAGATACACAGACATTGGAGTCCTCGCAACTAAGTCAGACCAGCCTCCTTGGAAATTTTTCACCGTGAACAACAACCAAAGAGCCCCTTTAGCAGCCAGATGTCTTGACATCAGTTTGCACGCAGATCTTCGGATCATCAGCCGCATCACCAGGCTCGCCACCGCCAGTGACGCCCTTTGAGTTCTTGCACACCGTGGCACCGCCAATGACGCAAGCGCCATTAATAGTGACCTTGTCACCGAGGTTGCCGTTGTAGTGAGCGACCGTCTTGCCGCCGTCGACGTAGATGTTGTTAAAGATTGCAGTGCGAGCGGTCTGCTCCTTGCAGTTACCGCACGAGCGCCAGAACTGGCCAACGTTCTTTGCGTAAAAGTCAGAGACCTCGACCGTGCCGCCGCCGTTGTGCTGGAAGAGCTTATCGGGGGCGTCGCGGGCGCCGCCGCCCTTGACCGTGGAGGTACCGCTCTTCTGGCGGAAGGTGGCGCCGTCTTCGCAAACCTTGTCCCACCAGCTGTTCATTCATTAGTCTGTGGTATTCGTTCAAGAGGTAGAACATGTTTGACTTACACGTTGACGAGGTTGCAGCTGCCCTGGCACTGAATCCCCTCTCCGGCACCGGCTCCGATAATGACGTTGCTGAGCGTGGCGCCGTCGGCTAAGATGAAGGCTGCGTCCTTTTGTCCGCCCTCGCTGCCCGTGCAGGTGCTAGGAACGCGGTCATAGAGCCTCATGCCGCCGTCGAAGTTGCCGGAAATGGTCTTCGCCGCGGAGAGGTTCTCGGTGCCGGCTGGTGTCGGGAAGGTCTTTACGATGCCGCCGCTGCTGCCGCCGCTGCCGGAACCGCCGCCACCGCCGGGGGTAGTGCCGTTGTTGGCTGCGCTGCCGCTTCCGCCTCCAGTACTGCCACCGCCGCCAGAGCTGCCGGATCCTGAGCCACCAGAGCCTGAACCAGAACCAGAACCAGAACCAGAGCCAGAGCCAGAGCCTGAGCCTGAGCCTGAGCCTGAGCCTGAGCCTGAGCCTGAGCCTGAGCCCGAGCCGGAGCCGCTGCCGCCCTTCTTTTTGTCCTTGTTCTTATCCTTGTTCTTATCCTTGCTCTTGTCCTTGCTCTTGTCCTTGCTCTTGTCCTTCTTCTTGTCCTTTGCCTTTTCGGCGCTCGATCCAACGTCGGGAGTGTCCTCGCAAGTTCCATTTTCACCCGGGTTGGCGTATCTAATCTCGACTCTAGCGGGACCTTCAACGGGCGCACCGCGGGGCTGCTGAGGCGCCATGACGGCGCGGGCGAGGTGTCCAATGCCTCCGACGTGTCGGCGGGCCGGCCGCTCGTAGCCATCTGGGTTGATGGGGTTCGCGGCAGCCAGTGCGGCAAGGGAGAAGAGGACCAGCCGGGACGCCATGTTGATGATGGTGTCGGTGAAGGAGGTGGTCTTTAGGGGGGATAAGGTTGATCTTGTTGATAGTACCAGACTTTGTGTGTGAGAAAAGAAAGAAACGAAAGTAGATACAAACGAGATGAAGCAGTGAGAGTATGTAGGAGAAAAGGTGTGTGTGAGAAGGAGGGGAGTGAAGAGAATGTTTGTTTGGCGATGAGAAGCCTGATGTGGAGAGAAGATCTGCTCACAAAAGGAGGACGAAGAAGACGGTCTTATATCTCGTCTTGTGGCTCACCAGTATCGCGTAGTCAATGGCGTTTGAACCTGGTTGTTCGTCGCATCTGAGCATGCCCCTGTGCTCTGTAAATTGCAAAGTGATTTGGTATGGAGAAACCTCACCGGTAGCCCACATACAGATACAAGCCAAGATGTTTGGATATATTCGATGACCGCCGAGGCTTCTCCACAATCTTGTGTTGATTGATGAGATCAGCAAAAGACATCAGTCTCTGATGCGGGAGGTGGGCCAGTACTCTCGGTCTTCTTTCACGGAGGGGACGGACATTGGATGTGTTCTATCTGTCAGGGTCACAGCTTCATCGCCTGAAGAGGACATGGACCGGCGGCATTTCTCGACAGCAGGCACAAGAGAAGGAAGCGACAGTCACAAGGCAACTCGAACTGGTCAGTGTTAGCAAAAGTGTCAAAGTGGAACTCATTCAGGAACGGCTATGCAATATGGGTCGTCGGGAATAGATTCGACCCGTCCGGGATGGCAGCTCGAGCGGGAGATGATCCGAGAGTTCGTCCCGCCTGTGTGGTTGGCCATCACCTAGCATAGCCAACAGTTCCAGCCGTGTAAAAAGAAAGATTAACATAAGGCCAAGGTGGGAGAGCGGAGGCGGGTTGATTGCACATCATATGTCAAACTTGCTAATGGTCTGGGCATATTTGAGTTTGTAGCCCTTTGGGTGGCCGGATGGTCTTGGCCCCTTTGCGATGCTTTTGCTGCTTTTGCTGCTCGTCTCCAAGGTTCATGTCAGGTAAGAACTGACGTTCCTGACAGGTTGACGGGTGCTTTCTAGAAGAGGGGAAGGGGGACCCCTCACAGGTGGTGGGGTTGCTTGATCCAATCTACTTGACTCCTATCCGGTCAAGGGGTGAAGGTCGGGCGAGCCGATTAGTCTACGGATCCCGGAGATCTCGGGGGCGGCACGGTGACGGTTGCTATCCGTGCGGAGGAGGGCGTCTTGCCGGGTTTCTTTCAGATTAAGGCAAAGCTCCATACTACCATACACTATCCGTACGTGATGTCGTTAACCGATCTCTCTCTTGTTCGGAGTCTCGGTTGTGCGGAGTACGCCTGGGGTTTGCGGGAGGCCCTCTTCTAGTATCCGCCTAGCTGGGCTCAATGCGACCTTATTTTGAGGCTTAAAGAGTTGCCGAGACAGGCTTATTTTTATTTTCAACGACGAGGGAAGGTTCGATATTGGCGATGTTCGACATCGTTCGTCGCTCACTCGAGAGCACGGAGTCTTTCCGAAGGTTGTTTGTTTGCCTCATTGTTAGAGTTCAATCACGTAGTGTAAGGTAGCAAAACTCTGATTCCCGCCCCGAAAGACTACTTCTCTGGGACCTGATCTGCAACTCAGGGGGGGCAGTGAGTTGGAACGGGCAGCAAAGCGCAAAAAATCCGCTGACTGATGCATCTTTGTGATAGAGTTCAGGCCGCCAAGAAACGCTTTGCGCGCCAAGACACCACAGACTCATGCGAAAAGAGCCCACGGGGCAATGATTTTGTTCCTGTTGACTCGCGAAAAGAACCGCTCAATATGTGCGAGACTCCCACCTCACAAGTCTGAGAAAAATAACGAGACAAACGGCGAAATGAAGTGCAACTGATTCCAAGGAGCCGAGGGCCCATCGTGACGTCTGCGGAATTGAGTTCTGCGCTGCGGTGCACTTGCGCTTTCGTGTTCGAACTCGCCCACCAGTGATACCCCATAACGGCTTCATGTCCGTAATTTGACAACTGACGCACACTCGCATACACATAGTACCTCATACAAACTTCCCGCGAAAGTTCGAGACTAGAACGACTCTTCCCAATGGGCAACGACCTCCGGTCTCCCGTCAGTCTCCCGTTGTGTTTCTGAGCCTGAAAACTGCGGCTGGTGGTAAGTACGTTTAAGGTAGAGCTATAGCTATTTTTAAACTTTGATAATAGGAGCCTACAACTGCAAATGCAACTGCAACCTCGCACCTGGGACGCAAAGACACATGGCAGTGCTGGGTAGTGGAGCAACTTCGAGGGACCCATAGAACATCAGACTGAACGGTGTCCCATCAATACGACCGACATCAGACCAAGACACGGCGGCACGTGGGCGCCCGCCTTCACCTCGAAGCAGTCTGGTTGCGCCGCGGGTGCCGAGTACGCCGCAACGTATGTACAATCCTGGACCAGCGTGATTGTTAATTAGTATGAGGTTCGATATGATACCATTGACATGTTATGAACGTGCGCCCCGAAAGCCTATGGCGTGTCTGTGAAGCTTGGCCAAGCCAAGAGAAACTGATCAGAGTTTAATGATTGGGAAGTGAGGTCCGACATTGTTTGATGCTTTGAATAAAACTTTGTTGTGTAGTATTAATTATGAGTACTAAGTAGACAAGCAAAACACGCGGGAATCTGAGCCGCCAGCGCTTGCTTTCGTGCCACCATTGATAGCGCTATTGGGGACCACGCTTGTCTCCAATCTCAGATCTGGGTATCATTCGTAACTCCTCGGACCAAGCAAAAATCTCACTCGGCGGAACGAGTCGGCGACCGACTAGACCATGTCCTCGCCAGAAGGACGCCGGTCGCCTCTCGAATGGTGAGATGCTACCGCCTTACGGGGCACACCAACACCTCGCGTATCCCTACTGCCGGTGGTATACCTTGTTCGGCTGGCCATTCTGTCGGGACCATTTCCCTTGTCCCCGCGTCTCTTACCCCATCCGGCCTTGCGCGTGACTACCGTCCCGCCTTCGCCAATAGCCTCGAGGTTGAATTCCAGAGGCATCTTGCGGTGCAGGGGAATGTGATTGATGCGCCAATCCCAGACGGCGGCGTAGGCCATCCTATACGACGAAAAGGCGAAGACGGTTCCGATGATGGCGCCCGCGAGGACATCGTACCAGTTGTGGGACTGGTCGACTGTCAGAGAACCGCCGACTAGGGTCGCTAGGAGGATGGGAGCGTAGACGAGGACGAGCTTCCACATGGGCGTGTGGTGGTTCGAAAAGACCTTGAACTTGGCGTTGAGGTAGAGGTACAGAAACACCATGCCCGAGAACATTGCAGTGGTGTGCCCCGAGGGGAAAGATTCCATCGCGTTGGAGAGCGTGCCGTCCATCTCCCTGGTGCAGATATCCGACGTCCACATGATGCCTCCATAGCCCGTGCCGTCGAGACCCGTCGCGTTACCGCCCGGCTGGGAGGCCTTGCTGATGTCGGGTTGGCAGACTTCGAGAAAGTTGGGACGCAGGCCGCCGATGAGCCACTTGATCATGACCTGGAAGACGGTGGAGCCGATGACGGAGTACAGCAGGCCCATGATGCCGTTGTTGATGTCCCAGAAGGAGCGTACCCTGATTTGACAGAGGAGGATGGAGAGGATAGGCACGCCGATGCCGAGGGCGGTGGCGGCGTGACTGGGGATGTACTGCGGGATGTGCGGGTATGCGAATTGAGGGTAGACGACCTCGCCGTTGTCAAAGGTAACGGGGAACGTTCGGTGTGCTGGCGGGTGCGCTCTGAATACCTGAATATGTGGTGTTAGCTGGATGTCAGCGGTCGGATGCAAGGCAAGGTGCGTACCACTAGGGCGATGACTCCCATGATGATCATGGTGAGAATGTCTAGCCATGTCACCTTGAGCCAGAGCATGAAGGGCGGCCGATGGGCCATGCTGTAGTCTTGTCCATGCCAGCGATCGTTAACCTTTGTTTCATGGCTACTTTTGCGATGTGTTGGGAGGGTCGTGGTATCTTGGCGACGTCGTGCGAAAGGATTGAAGCGGGCCATCCTGTGAAGCAATGCTGCTCTTGAAGTCTGAGGATGAATTTTATGAGGTGATACTCGGAATCGAGAGGGGGAAGTGGACGGTGGTGTATCCACCGAGTTGATTCTTGACGATATCCCGATGGAATTCTCTCAACCAAAGTATTATGCGAAAGAAAGAAAGGCCGCTGTTGTTGTTCGAGTAGCGAAGGGGGAAACCTTCAGGTAATATGCCAAGCGCACTTTCTGACCATCACCGCCATGTTCATCATATCCTTGGCAGCTGCATCACCACGAACAGGCACTACGTAGCGCAAGTAGTACCTGACCAAGAGAGACAACACACACACAGAGGGCACAGAAACAACACATCGCTAAAGAGAGCCAAGAGACTCGAGAGTCCAGGCGCGACGACGCGCTGCCAAGCCACTTCCCGTGCCTCTTGACGTCACCCAGAGTGCGACGGTGTAACTCTCGACGGGCCAGCCAGCAGCGCGACACTCGCCTAAGGCGTAGTTTGGGGGCAGCTGGGGGCTCAACTAGACTCGACGACAGGGGTCATCTGCAGCCCTCGGAGATTCGAAGCCACTCGAGGCCTGCCAAAATGGCTTGGCTGATGCTGTTTCGTCCCAGCCACAGCAAGAAAAAACTGGGCGCATGCCCTGGCTCTTGTTGGAATGAGGGATTGTTCGTCGGGACGGAAATGAAGCTTTGAGAAAAATGTCTCTCCTTTTGCGCTAGCAGATAATGGTATCAATATTGAACGGAGGAAGGTCAGTAACGTACATGGAGGGTTCGTTGCCGCGATTCTTTCAATCTATCTTTGATCCTTTATCCAGAGTTTCTGAAGTATTAGTGTGGATGTTTCTATTCGATGCATCTCTGAGCAGCCTCCTAAAGAAAGATTCCCTCTGTTTTAGACACTCCGAGCCGCGATATTGCCTGTAATACAATCTAATCAACTTGGAGCATTCTCCGACCAATCTGAAAGAGGACTGTGGATGGATTCGACTTTGACTCTGTCAGATACTGTCTCTGAGGGAGTCAACTACGCTCTTTGTCCTGTGACAAGACAAGCACAGTAGAGTCTGGCAAATTTCATGGAAGAGCAAGGGTGCATCTCGCTCCAGATCGTACGGCCCCCTGTTCCCAGCCCCTACTTACATGTACCTTCGCTACGTTATGTTTCGTACGGGGCCTATCCCGTCGACTAGGGAACATTCCCAATATGAATTTCATGTTTTCTTTAAATGCCCTCTGAACAAAGGTGGCGTTTACGGCAACAGAGAATAGGGGTGATATAATCTCATTAACCACTCATTCTCTCATAATTACCTAGATACTCAAGATAGGCTAGTACGTACTTGAAAATGATTTTGCCAGTTTGCAATCGAGAGGATAAGGCTCGGACCTGTAGAGTTACGGTCACGTTGCCTTCTCAACTAAGTTTATAGCTCAGCTCTGAATCAATCTGCGGCCATGAGACCTTTTACTTGAGGGTTGAGGTTCTTGCTTAGGTGTCTGGCCGCCTGTTCACTTTCTGCTTGCTCCCTGGTTAGTGCATCCCACGTGATCCCTTGTCGGTTTGCCGACGTGGAGACAGATCTACGAGTCTCGGTTACGCACTAAGGTAGGCCTTTCGAATTTCTCTAATTGGAGTTGGGATGGTTGATGTGGCTTTACGCTTTACAGGAATACTCAGTACAGTTGATAGTCATACCTTCTTTCTCTACAACTTCAACAATGCTTTTTAGAGGATTAAGTCGCGCAAACAAGTCAGATGAGTATTATTACCTCAGCATCAATAGTAACGATACTAATGATGGTTGTGATAATATTGTTTAGTAGAAACCAAAGCTCGAGGCATTGCACAATGGGTGGTATCGCCCACTTGACTCAATGGTTTCCAGCACCACTTTGTTCGTAGGAGCATGACGATAAGTCCAGTAGTGCACGCCAACGAATAAGAGGCTTTGGGAGACTTTCTGGGGCTTCGATGTTGATCGTATCTCAATTATGTGCCAAGGGTGCTATCATCCTCATTGCATGCAATCATTAAGTGCAGCTATGACTTACACGAGCACCATGCATTCCCCAAATCCATAATATCATGATGAAAAACACAGCCTAAATCAAACCTTTACCTCCTCCTTCGCAAAAGCCGTCCTTTTCATCAAACTCTTCTCATCCTCGCCAGCCTCAAACCTCTTCACCATCTCCTCAGGATCAAACTTGGGCCCCCTCGGATCCTCCCCAAACTCCTCACTCATCATATACGCAACAGCATCCTCCTTGGTCTCAAACACATCCACCTGCGTCTCAATCTTGCCGCCGTCCGGGTCGCGGTAGTACATACTCGTCGACATGCCGTGGTTGACGCACCAAATAGGCTCAATACCCAGGTCCCTGCGAGCCTTGTAGGACTGCAGCAGGTCGCCGAGGGAGTCAAAGGTCAGAGCGAAGTGGTCCATGCCGACGGTGTTGTCTTGTCGCGGAACGGCGGTGGGATCGTTGAGGATGGCGAGGCGGTGGTGCTCGTGGTCCCATGTGAGGAAGGTGATGAGGGGGCTTGAGGCGGTGATTTCTGCGTCGAGGAAGGTTTGGTAGAAGGAGACTAGCTTTTCGGGGTTGGCGGTGCGGAGGACGAGGTGGGCTAGTTCGGAGGGTTTGCAGACTCCGGTGGACGCTTTTATCGCCATATTGCGTGTTGTCGTTGGTGTGTGCGCGGTGGATCTTGAGATGTAGCTGGTGTGGTGGTGATATAGGGATGATCTGCGGGTGGATGGTCTGGGGAAAGGCAACATGAGATCTGGTGTGGGGTAGCTCGATATTTAGATGCTAGCTGAGAGTCCAAGACACATTCGAAGGAGCTGGTCAATCGTCATACGTTTGTGGAACGTAATCAGTCTCGTGGCTCGCTCAGTATGGCTCCATGTCTGCTTACGAACAGCATCTCCGAGTGGCTTGTTGCATCCAATATCCAGTGTCACAACAGTCCGTGGACGGGTGCGCCACTTCGGAGTTTTCGTGTCAAAGGCCGTTGCCGTTGGACGAGTCGGGTGGATGAGAAGCCGGCCCGGACGTCCGCCCGTAGTCGTACAGCAGGTCTTTGAACCAATGAGATGGTAAAGAATGTGTCATGTCCTCTGACTGTGACTCGGGGCGTTTTCCAGATGGAATGATGGGATGCTTTTGGGACAAAGATTGGGAGGGGAGGGACATCGGGACCGAGCTTTTGCTTCTCGGCGATGAATGGCGCCCCGATTGTCCGTCAGCGCATGGCGGCGGGGTAGGGATAAGTGTCCGCCTGTACTCACGCTGTAGCTGACACCGATGATGCAGCTATTACGATCCTGAAGAAAGCAATGGAAGTCTGGAGTGAGGATGTAAGTGTTCCATGGTTACGTTAGAAATTGTCGGCTTGCAGCATTCACCCGACTTGAATACCGGGGATCATGACTAGCCGGTCAGCGGGGGGTGTCGGCGGGGCTCACCGGCATTGGCAAGGCCGCCCGGATAGAGCCACTAACGGAGCTACGGGGTACCTTTAGCGGGTCCACCGTGCCGTACCGGGCAGAAAGCCGACTTCAGAGCTCCCGCGCCGACCATAGTGCACCCCACAGTACACCCCCGAAGAACTCCACTATCACGCGGAATAAGAAGTGGAAGACGAGCATTTTGAGTCCGATTCCTCGATATCAACGGGGCCATTGACCACCTTGATCACTCTCAATGCTGACCAATGACCAGCCACAGTTAACTGTGAACCCGGATGATGAAGAAGTTTTCAATAACCCTGAGATCTTGAGGTTTGTCTCAAAACGACAGTGTTTAATAGCATTGAGTAGATGCTGCAATAGTGTGATTATCCGATATGTAATTGTCTGGATTTTTTTGGCCCATTAACTTAAAGGGGCGGAGGCACAGACGTATATAATATGACTACTATATATTGCCGGTAAACTGAGTGCCAACCTTGATGATATGAATGCGGAAATGTTGAAAGCTACTAACTTGCCAGCTCACCTATCACTGAATACATGCCCCTTGTTGATTGAACTTACGCACTTGTTTCCACCGTTCGCGTGAACCTTAGGCGGCCTCAGTCACTAGTGGTAACCTCGCGGATGGGTAGCTTTTGATGACTCAGATACACCGTGATTGAGTTCAGCCAAAGTTCACTTCCCCCACCTTAGAATGTACCTGTTCGAGACATGATGGTGTATAAGTACTCCACCACGGCCCGCCCGGACTGTAGAGCTATCAAGTCTTAACTGCTTCCTCATCCTCCCTCAACGTCGTCGCCAGATACGATCTGCCAATAGCTCACCGCGACGCTCCATCTTCAACTATCACTGCCCAAACGACGGCTTCTGAATCTACTTTTCTAACTCTTCCCCGTGAGGTGAGAGAGGAAATTTACGGCCACTACGTCAGGACAAACTGCGGATACGTATGTAACTCGGAGACCTTAATCGCAAGAACGCTAAACATCAACAGCTCTGGCAGCACTGACGGCAACCTTAGTATCATCTCGGGCGTACTCAAAAGGGCCGACGGTCATCCTATTAATTCTCGGGCTGTCGCTCACCTGCAAGCTTGTGGCCGACGAGACGAGGGGACTTGCTCTGCGCACGAACATCATCACATCTTCGACTGCGACTTCCGAAGAGCTACGTATCCGTGCCCTTCACTTCCACATCTTGGTCAAAGATCTCGACTCAAGCCAAGAGTATCTTTTCTATCGGGCGGGGTATACCATACCAGAGATTGTCCGTGATAGACTGAAATTGACCTACCCTCAATTCGCTCCTTTGCTTGAAGATCTGAGAAAAAAACATGAACGGATTGATACCTTGAAGCGTCGTGGACCTTTCGGGCAGGCGCCGTCACAGTTCCGGATGTTTTGCAAAGAGGCGTTGGCGGCCTCGTCAATAGTCGACGTACCTCTCTCCGAGATCCACTACACTTGGACAGATGTTAAGGGATTGAACTTCCATGTCGACACCGAGCCACACGACGCTCTCGGGATTGCCGAATGCTCCGTCCATCACTGGGTCATCCCCTCGAATGAAGTATTGGACGACATGGCAAGCTGTCTGGACGTTGACATCAATGATTCATGTCGGCTCGCTGGCGCAATGACAACAAAGGATCGTTCAAACTATCGATTTTCTGCCGCGGCAGCGGCAATCTGTTTCCTGCCATCGATGCCTGAGGAGCTGCGTGGACATCTGCGACGAATCATCCTCGACGAGGACCGCCAAGCAGTGGCCAAGCAACAGTGTCACGCACTCGGCCTGATCCCCTTCTGTAAAGAGAATCCCGGCCTCCGGATCGAGCGCCGGGTCAACTTGTGGCGTAATGCCTTGCTACCAGACTCAAACTTCGACACCCCGGATACTCGTCGCCAGGCCAAATACCGGACCATGACTCGACGCGACCCAGTACCATGGGATGTGGTGGCCAAGCAGGTCACCGCCAACGTGTCGTAATGTGTTATGCCTTGCTCTGGCCCCCGCGGGAATGCCGCCTGCATCTTACACTCTAGTTCTTGACGGCCAGCCCCCGCCGCCCCAGTTATGCACGGAGATGTTCCAGATGACGATTCAGAGAGACGTCGCGTGGCAGGCGGCCTGGTTTGTATCGATGGACCAGGGCATCATCCCGCCGACAGAGTGGTTCCTCACCCGGTCCACCATGTCCAACAAGCTCCGAGTCGCCCGTAGAACCGAGTACTTTTACCAGGGATTTCCTCGCGCCATGAGGGATATCATCCAAGGGAAATCGATTGTGAAGTGCAACTTTGACCCGAGCGAGCTGTGGAACGTCGACCGCATCGTGCAGGATCACCTGGCTTGGACTCCGCAGCAGTGGCAGGAGGCGTGGGCCGACCACGAGCCAAAGACGTGATTTCCCGTCGCACCGCTTCCGTGCTTTCAAGCTAAGCTCTGCTTGAGGAGGATCTGGTGCCGCAATGTGGCAACAAGGAGAAGTAGTCTTGGTCGTGGCGATCGAGAGGGACTATTCACGACGGTGGTCACGTCGCGTCCGCGTCTCGTTGATAAGACGTAGGTAATGGGCAAAAGCTGATCCTCAGGTGGGTGGGTGCACCGAAATCATGCGTTGAGGGCGATTAAGGAGAACCTAGGACTTCGTCTGGTGCTCAGTGGAGTCATAAGTCTGGGTTAATTTCCTGCTGTAGTTTCGTCGAATGCTGAGGGATCGCGGTCCCGCGGTCAAAGGTCTCGGGACCGACTCCCAACATCAAGATGAATGTTTAGGTTATCAGGTCACATTACAGTAAATCCATGCTGTGTGTAACAAGACAGAGAGGTAGTTGTATAGTTACCCGTTCTTTCAGGAAAACGTATAGCTCTAGTCAAAACGAAACTTGGGCTTGAGATGAGTTGAGACTTCGTTTTCACAGACCTTTCTTGCATCAAGCTGTGAGCCGCTGGAAGAATTCTGGCCACCTGGAGAATGCGGCCGTCATAGGTTACGTACAGGTGCTACCTACATCGGCATCACTCCCTTCAAACTCGACTCACGGAGATTGTTTCTGCGGCTGACCTTCGTCGTCCTCTGTCCACCAAAATTCAGTCTTTTTCTGGATGCCTAGTTTCAGCAGGATATCACTATCCGAGCTCCTCGTCTCCGACCCTCTTCGACGAGGTGACCCAATCATCGTCGAAGGCACTTCGAAGCGGTCACCTCGGAGATTGCTATCGAGATACCCCGACTGCAATGGATCACATCTGCCCGTTGATCCCGGAAGTGTCTGTTGCGCGTCACCGTTACCGAGGAAGTAGACGTAGATGGACCTCGAAAGAGCGAGATTTGCGGCGATGATACCCAGGAACAGTTCGAGGTTCGACCAGATACCGGCGATACAGTACGCCCCTGAAAGATAGTTGTCAGTCTATTTATGATATTCTGCCTGAAAACGATGAAGGTACATGTAGGGGAGGTTGGACGCACAGCTCAAATCAGAGGTGGAGATTCCCAGTGAAGCTGCTCTGGCAACTCCAAACCCGGTCGCCCTAGAATTTGTAGAGACTGTTAGGGGATCTGGTGTCTTAATAGAACCTGACAGACGCTTGGGAGGAACTCACACAAGGCCTAGTCCCATCAAGCAACAGACTGATATCTTTGTCCGTCGAGGGATCTTTACGTTCCAAATCACCACAAGGGGAAGTAGTGAGCAGATGAGGTCCGTCAAGACGGAGTATGCTATCAATTTTAATCAGCAACCAAGCCCTCAGGGTTTCGAAAAATCTTGATCACACCAATCGTCGCATAGATGAAGTAAATGCGGATGTGTGTTGGCCAGCACACGGCTGACTTGCCCCTCCAGAAACCAATAGGCTGACACTCAGCTATCAAAATGATCACGACCCCGAAGTTTGTAATGAGTACACCAGCCATAATGACGTGCAGCAAGCACTTTAGAACCTTGCTATCTTTGATGCGAAGGATTAGGAGACAGATTGACACCTTCAAGAACGCCACAGAGATGAAGAGCAGCATCTGTCCCCACCAGCCGTACATGTTGATTATCATGTAGTCATGATCGCTGAGATAGACTCGGTGTCTGCCATTTCCGCGTTTCCACTGCAAGACGACGAAGGCAAACCGTATAATTGCCGTTGCCCCTGCGAGAGCAATGGTCAGGTCGTCCCATCCTAGCTTCCGGTTCGCTGATCGCGCCCATAATCGGAGGCCGGTCGTGATGACGAGGAAGATTGTCAGGGCGAGGGCGAGAGAAAAGGAGATTGGACCAACGTCCTCGTTCGGCGGTAATGAATCATCTCGAGGGACTACGCTCATCGTCGTAGGTAGCTGCTGTCTGGAGAAGTCCGTTTATTCAAGTGGTATCGTTGAGATCGGGTTCCAAGATCAGTGGCACGCCGTCGTGGCGTGTGTGAGAACACACATGACGGAGGAAGATACCGCAATCTCAGCAATGGCCAGATGTCAGTCATATAAGTCAGTTTTGTCGGACCATGGCTTTGCACTATTTGGGCATTCTGTTTCAAACAAGCCCGCCGCAGAACCCATCAAACAATCCGTTCTCATATTTCAAGGAAGCTGCAAAAATCTGTGGCGCCCGGATGGTGGTTCTTCGGATTCCCCCCATGTTATTGCGTTACCACTCGGCCGGCAATGTGACTCAGGCATGCAGAATCGACATTAGACTTCCCGTGCCTGGTTTCTGTGAATGCAAAGGGATGGCAGCAGGACAGCTGTCCGGAATGCGGAACCCGCTCCGCTCCCGTGCAGGTTCAACTTCAGGAGACCTGGGAGTCAAGGGAGTGTTTGCGCAGCTTTTGCGCAGCTTTGATTACACCCTGGCTTCCGCCTCTTTGGGTTTATGACTCGCATCCCCACACTTTTGGCTGGGCATTATTTAGGAGAAAAGAAGGCAAACGCAAGGCTCGAATCACCAGAGACAAGTTGACTCTTTGTGCAGAGATAATCTATTTCTGAGCCTAGGGTCGCGCTATGCTTGTGATGGAAGATGCCGAAATACCTCGAACTGTGAAGGCTGCTATAACGTGCGCTGAGAGCTGGGAATGAAGTTGCAGTTATGGAGCAATGTTGAGTGTTGCCTAAGAAAAATTGCTTCTCGGAAGTTGAATTTTCATGTTCTCTTAAGCTCCACTGACAAGGTGGTCTCATCCGGTGTTAAGGTACCCGGTCTTGAGTCCTGTCAGCTTGGAAGTCCGATAGCGAGCCCTTCCTGGGTCGTGGGGGATAAGATCCTGGACATGGCGCATAGGATTCGTCCCATGTATGCGTACTGTCGAGATTGTCCATATCAATTCCCTAGTCCGTCTTCAGTATTGTCTCGGTAGGGGATCCTGAGCCTACCTGTGCTAAACAACGGTTTTTGTTCAGACAGATTTCTCTTAACCCCCCAGCGTGAGGTCAGAAGATGAAAAAGCAGGGCGAACTGCAGTTCGGACAGTACTCTGTAAACTCGGATAAGCTGGCAGAAGTAAGTGAATGATCTAGTCCTTACCATCGCCATAGTTACCCGTCCGTCTTGTCTGTGATTGTTTGGTTGCGACGAGTAGAGTCTTCAGCAAAGCCCATCAACCCCTTTACCACGCCCCATTGGCGCCTTATTGTGCAACCCACACAACCCTTGTCCATGTAAGCGAATATTAGGCTAGCGGTAGACCTTCTTCCCATAGATGCCGCTGTCGCTCCCGATGTGGAGATCCGTATTGGAGTGGGCGGGGGGCACGACTGGGGTGAACTGCCGATTCCCTGCTGCAAAGTCCGAGGAACCCCGCCCATCTCGCAACAACTAGGAGAGACTGTAGAACCAGAGCGTCAGGACGATGCAGATTCAACGGTTGATGGTACACTGCGGATAAAGCAAGCAGGGCAGGTTGGATCAAGGTTACCGGCGACATTCAATCTCTTCCGAGGAGGGTTCTCTAGCGTTGGAAGCTCAGCCATTTTCACCCCGCCCGGGAGCGAATGGAGCTTTTACCCTGAAAGCCACCCGCCCACGTTTCCTTGGGTGGTTCATCTAATCGTCTTCGATGCCACGCTGGGTGTGCAAGGGTTGGTTCTCCGTCTACCAGACCACCCGGTTGTAGTGTGCCCTGACTCAATTTCATGGGTCGTGTGAAATGATTTGATTATTTTATCCCGCGTTCTGCGAAGCCACACGAATTACCCTGTGCCCCAAAATCCTATCATACGAAAGAATGCCGGAAACTTGATCCAAAGCGTCCATCAAGCGTCCAAGCTCTTGCATAGGGTTGACTCAATATGATTCCCAAGTGGTGTTGGGCATCCTGATCGCCGACGAGACACACACTTCCAGCGACATTCGTGCCACCGCCCAGCCCGACAAAGTATGCCTTTTCCCTATGCGCCATCTAAACCTCCATATCCGCGTGGCTCGCTTGATTCAAATCAACCTCTTACCTCGTGCAAAGGGACCTCGCAGGAAGATCTCGATATACCGAAATGTCACCTGTCGCCTCGATCCTGGCCCTGTTCGTGGCAGCGGCGTCAGCAGCTCATGGTCAGCCGACTGACAAGGCTTTTGACTACGTTCGTGCTCTCTGACCAATTAGATCCGCCACGAATTATGATGTGAACTAACTAATGACTCTACAGATTGTCGTAGGCGGAGGGACTGCTGGAGTCGCGCTATCAACCCGTCTCAGCCAGGGGCTGCAGAATGCGACAGTCCTGGTCATCGAAGCAGGTCCATCAGGGCTCGGCGACGAGCGCATTGAGATCCCCGGCCGGAGAGGTTCAACTTTTGGGAGCAAGTACGACTGGAATCTCACTACTGTGCCGCAGGAGGGATCCAATGGCCGCGTCTGGGTTCAGACCAGAGGGCACGTCTTGGGTGGGAGCTCCGCACTCAACCTCTTCTCATACGATAGGGCGTCTGCACACGAATATGACGGATGGGAACAGCTTGGTAACCCGGGATGGAACTGGGAATCTATGCGATCTGCCATGATGAAGTCTGAGAACTTTACCTCGGCCAACACTCAGTACTACACTGGGAGCGAGGGCGTTGGCAATTCCGGACCTATCAAGGCTTTGATCAACCGGCTTATCCCCAAGCACCAAGCCCCGCTGTTCCCGGTCATGAACAGTTTCGGTATCGAAACGAACCTGGAATCATTGAATGGCAACGTTCTGGGTGTTCTATACTCGCCCAACAGCATCGAGCCGACACACTACAACCGATCCTACAGCGCAAACTCCTACCTGCCCTTGGCTGGTCCAAACCACTTCGTTCTGACAGAGTCAAAGGTTGCCAAAGTCAATTTGGAGACTACCTGCCATGGCAGTCAGCGTGCTGCTGGCGTGACTCTTGTCGACGGAACCGTCCTATCTGCTCGTCGCGAGGTTATTGTCTCCGGTGGAGGTTTACTCAGCCCTTCTATTCTGGAGAACTCCGGCATTGGCAAGGCGGATGTCCTCTCCGCTGCTGGTATTGATCAGATTATTGACCTTCCAGGAGTAGGTGAAAACCTCCAGGATCGCATTCGTATCCAGAGCTCGTACGAGCTGAAGAGCAACTACACTGGATACGACCGTCTCAAGTACGACACAGTCTATGCTGCTGAGCAGCTCCAGCTCTGGTGGGAAGGCAAGACTTCAATGTACGGATACTCTGGTAGTGGATATACGTTCACCAACTGGAACCAAGCTCTTGGTGACGATGGAGAAGCAGCGCTTACTGCTCTTGCTCAGACGGCGATTGGGGATACCAACAACCCGGTCGAGAAGAAGAAACTTCAATGGCTCAACGATACGACGGTACCTCAACTGGAAATCCTTTTCAGTGACGGATATACTGGCGTCAAAGGGTATCCCGCTTCAGGAAGTCCAGGTTACGGCAAAGACTACTTCACGCTCATCGCCGCCATTATGCACCCACTGAGCCGTGGGCATGTCCACATAAACCCTGCCGACACCTTGGGACCACCTCTCATCAACCCTAATTACCTTTCAAACGACTACGACTTGCAAGCAGCCATCCAAGCCATCAAAAAGTGCCGTCAGGTCGCTCTCACAGAGCCTCTCAGATCCACATGGGTTTCGGAGTACGAGCCGGGCTTGAACACCACGACAGACGCGCAGTGGCGGGACTTTGCTCTCAAGACCACCCTGTCCATCTACCACCCAGTTGGCTCCTGTGCAATGCTCCCAAGGGAAGACGGTGGCGTCGTTGACCCATCACTCAAGGTCTACGGAACGGAGAATCTCAGAGTCGTGGACGCGAGTATCATGCCCGTCCTGATCTCAGCGCATATTCAGACCGCGGTATATGGAATTGCGGAGAGAGCTGCCGATATCATTATTGAGGCTGCGAAAAAGTGAGGAGAGGTCTGAACCAGTAGTCACACTCATAGATTGCCCAGAATGTGCTGAGCAGTATTGACGTTGATGTTTCCTATGTAGAGTCCGATGGGCTGTCTTACTTTGTGTACATACGTCGCCATTGAGAGCTGTTCGTAGTGCAAAATTATCTTCAGTAATACTGTCTACTTTCTCGTCGCAGCAAATTCCTTGAGCCAAGCTTGTACAAACTCCACCTCGAAGCTCTGGGCCTCTTTGACAGGCAACGGTGGCAGGTCAACCGTTGTCTCGTTCTTGAAAATGCCATTCTCGTCCCAGTGGTGAACTGCTCCGCCCGTAATGACCAAGTTAGGTTCCTCGGTGGTCGATTCGGGTCGCGGGAGCCCGATCTTGTTGGGAGTCGCAGATCGCCATGGGTCGGATTCGCCATCAATGATGGCTACGCGAGGGTAGCTGAAGTTATAACCACCGTATTTGTTGATGGCTTCTACGTCAGGTAACGAGGTGATGTTGAAAGCCTTGCGACAGATGACTGTGGAGTAGTTGATGTCAATCAGGCGTGAAATCAACGGAAGCTGATCTTCTGGGACGCCGGAGCCGGTTTGGAGGTAGCCCCATCTAAACAAAATTATTAGAATTTTGTCATAAGAATTCTGGGTTTGATCACTTACTGCGAACAATACTGGTAGGCCCACAGACGCCAGGACGCGCTTAGATCATCCGCGGCATACGCATCGTCACTTCCGGGTCCGAAGCAATCGTCTTGGTTCTCCGAGTCGCACCAGGACGATGTGTAGTTGACGTAGCCAATGTAGTTTTTGAGCCGAGGAACTAACTCCGTGACTTCTGACTCATAGCCGCTAATCTCAAGTAGGTAGCGAGCACTGGAGTCAAGGCTATCCGTCGCGGGCCACACGAGTTCGTCTGAGGTCATGTTACCACAGTAGAGAAGGAAGTCGTCGCTGTCAAGGGCTGGGTCCCAGTTCCGACCCTGTAGCCCTGCAATGCCGCCCCCAATCGCGCTCGCAAAGTCGACGCTCGCAGTGACGTTAGGGAGTCCGAAGGCAGTCTTGAGTGTCACAATGTCCTCCTCAGTCGTGTTGCCCTTCTGCATCAGGATGTTGTCCACCATGTGCATCAGCTTCTGCGTCGTCTCTGCGCATCCCTCAGGGGCGAAACGTCTCGCGGCTTCATAGTATTCCCAAAAGTCAACCACGGCGGCAGTGACGCCAGAAGAAGAGATCGCGCCCCAGAAGACTTCAGGATACAGTTTGCGCAGGAACGCGACAAATGCGCCGGCATACGAGCCTCCGTACACGATCCACGGTGTCTCCGGTGCCGTCAAATTTACTCCCGCCAATTTGCCGGGGAAGACAATGTTCTTAGCAAAGTAAGCAGTGTCCGCCAAGGCTTGGTCCGTCGTAAGGAATCGCAGGTTTTCCGTGCTGAAGTCTGGGGTGGGGTAGCTGCGGCCGTAGTACCGATGTTCCAAGATGACGCCGACTCCGTTAGTTGCTTCGGCTAGAATGGCAACGATGCCCTTTTGCAAGAAAGGCAAGCGGCCCGCGCCGCTGGTTTCACCCGCTGCCAGAGCGATGACAGGGCCTCCAGGCTTGTAAAACCGGTCGTCGTACCAGTATCGGAGAGGAAAGCTGCCATTCGAGTGCGGCTCGTACATGGAATCATTGTGGAAGTGGTCAATGGGAACCGAAAAGTTGAAAGGCCGGTAGAGAGTGGACGGATCCGGCGCGCCGGGGGCGCTGTCGTTGGCGAATAATCGGACGACTTCGGGGCCTGCAGCTCCTTCGGCAGCGGGTTCGAGCTCGGGTTGGAGATGGAACTCCTTCCACATCTGAGCCGGGCTAAGTTGCGGTCCCAGAGCTCCGGTCACCCGGATCAAACCGAGGAAACCAACTGTCAGCCAAGACGGCGCCATCGTGTCCGTTTGATCTTGGTATGAAAAAGAAGATCAACTAGGAATGAAGGCAGCTGCAGACCATACAGGACTCGCGCCAACAAGTCGCGCCCCCGGCCATATTTGTGTTGTCCGTGTCGCCGCCGATCATCGTAATCTTAGTCCGTGGGTGCCGCAGCGTCGTACGAGGGGTCCAGGGACTCGATTGCGTCTTTGCGTGTCCGAATGCTACCTACCTGATCGGTCCTGGCGCCTCATTCGACGATACGAACTCGTTGTTCAAAGTTCGATGTTCGACCTTCCCGAAAAGCACAAACTTCGATCTGAGATGGGGCTGGCCAAGGCCTGTCCCCCGTCTTGTTGGACGTCATGGATTATGAACCCGCTCGGCAGACTTTAAAGGGGATCTGCAATCAAACGCTATCATGACAACTGTTTTGTCTCAGACAGCGTGATGTCTTTAGACTTTGAAATGTTTAATTCGGGATGAACCAATAAAGCTTGCCTGCGCTACGGTTTGATTGCAGAACGTACTTGGTACGCATGCGCCGTATTTCCGGGCTTAGAGGCGGGGCAAAACCAGGTCAATGTCAGCCGTGTTAGCCCAGTTTAATCTCGCTGATTATGTGTTCAATGCGGCTGGGTTAGTAAACAGCACCTATCGTAGACACTTGGGAAATAGAATCGTCGCCAGCCTTTGTGCCCGGGGCTGCTGCAATTGCCCGCCGCGATGCATGGACTCGATGACGCGAGACTAAAGTATTAGCACAGATGGTCGCAGCAAGTGGACGAAGCACCGCTATAAAATCCGAAATTTTCCACTGCTAACCTGCTAGAAAAGGTGCAAATGGTTGCGACTAGGTACGCATCTAATCAAACACTATAACTATGTCACTTAGTTCAAATTGCTCTTAGCGAACATTTTCGTGAAGGGTTTTCGCAGGAATACAAAAATCACGTCCTGACCTTAATATCTCCAGAACTATTGCGCTGTTCAATGGCTGCGGAAACTCCGCTCAAGTATTAAAGCTTATGAGAGCCTCTGGGCAGTTCTAAACAGTCTGAATCTCTTCGTCGCGGCCTGTTGCCTGAGTCTCCCCTCTGCCTAACACCACCGCATCCGCATCGGGTCCTTTGCTAGACACGCCATTGCGGACACGGCGATAATGGATAGCTAGGCCTATCAAACCGACCCATATCGCTAACTCTGATCCATATATAACGATTCCATAGATTTTCAGTGTCTTCTGGAAGATCACAGACAGAAGCGATGCAACGTCTCCACTTAGATCCAGTGTCGCGAACTTGAGGGACAAGCCCGCGTCCGATCGAGTCTTCAACATCTGAATGTAATGTCGGAATACACCACCAGCCAAAAGAATCGCAGCCAAAATAGCCATGAGAATTGATGGCCACTTGTGCCCGCGTTCGTTTGCCAGTTTGAGTGCGTAAACAAGTCCAAACTCGGCACCGGCCAGAACAATGGCTATGCCGATGACGCTAGCTACTAGTTTCCGAGTGCCCCATTTGTTGCCATAATATTTGCACTGAAACCAGGTCCAGAGACTGAGAAACATCAAGATATTAGGCTGTATCTGGAGGGCAATGTTGAAATCGTCGGCGATGGTGTACACCCCGAGGGGCACCCCAGCAACAGCCCATGAAAGAAAAAACGTTGACGAGAGGGACTGGGTGTCGTGCCGCCGCCAGTTTTTCGAAATTTGAGGCAAGAGCTTGAAAAACTTTTAGCAAACATGTTTCGAAAAAACTACGAAGAGAAAAGTTGGTTCCTACCTGAAGCGACCAGAGCACTGCCCCAAAGGTGCCGAACACGTTTGCGGTGGCAGGATTGTCCATGGTCTTCTCGGATATTGGGCTCGTGTGAAGATTTGAGAGATCTGTAATGCTAGGAAGTAATTGACTCTTAATCTGTATTGCTGAACCAAAACTCGTCCGGTTTGCCAGAATGTACAATACATTTATATGCGAACATCACCCTTCCGACAGTGACGGGGTTGTGATCTCAAACTGACCGATCATATCGCTCACCTAGAAGATAATCTTGAATTAGCCAATCATGTGCTTGAGCTAGCTAGTGAGAGCCGAGATCGGGTTCAGACAAGTGACTGACAAGCCAAATCTCGACGCGAAACCTTTCTTTACCCTTTTCCCATGACCTCAAACCATTATCATCAACCTACCCGTCAATGGTCTTCCAAGCCAACGAGACCATCGATTCTACCCGGTGGCTTTTCGTCTCTCGTCGCGACCTCTCTGCCAACTCGTCCTTCTTCTATGGTGTCATATCGACCCAGATCTTTTGCCGGCCGACGTGCCCTGGTCGTGTCGCTCGACGGGGCAACGTCGTCTTCTTCAACGACCTGCAGCATGCCTCGCAATCCGGATACCGACCCTGCAAGCGGTGTGAGCCATGTAATGACGACTGGAGCAGGAACAGCAGCGGTCGCAAAATTGCACATCAGGCGCGCGCTATGATTGCCGCCGCCGAGGCCGACAGCCTCAAGTGGACCGTAGGGGGCCTCGCGCGGAAGCTGGGCGTCGCCAGTGCACACCTCCACCGGCGGTTCAAGAAATGTTTCCTCATGACTCCCAAGGCTTTTGCCGAGTCTCTGAGTACGCCGGAGAGAAGCCTATCGGGGTATTCGGGACTCGACGGGCAAGCTCCGTCCTTAGACTACGTGTTACCAGAGACATCTACAGACCTCGAAGAATACTATCCTTTGGACGACCTCTTAGGAAATTTCTCAACTTGGTCTACGGATGATGTGGAATTGTTCATAGCTCTGGGCCCTACTGTAAGTACGAGATTTCAAGTACGTATAACAACTGAGAAATGCATAAGAAATGATCGTTAATATAACATTCCCATAGGATGAGTTTTAACCAAAAGTCTTGTGGTGCGGCGGAAACCTTTTTTTCTTCTTATTTTTTTTCGTTTTCTTTCATAAAACAAAAAAACAAACAAAGACCTATGTTTAACTGATTTTTTGTCATTGAAATTCCTCTGTTTCATTTCAAGACTAGAGACCAATTCGTTCACGGCCAGCTAGTCTTGATGAGGTTTGTGTGGACAGAAGTCAAGGCGTTGATAGTAGTAACAGTGTTATTATTGTGATAGCTTTCTAGAAGCAATGTGTCCAAGTCGTAGTTGAGTTCAAGACTTCTGGAATCAGTCCGGTCGTAGTCATATGAAGAGAGTTCATAACAAAGATACTGTGGGGATATTGTAACTATAGTTTAAGTTGCTGAACATTTTGATTGAAAAGCAGGGTTTAATCTCAAAATGCAAGAGCTCAATACGGGTGTGAAGGGTTTGCTGACTACCTAAGATGCAATCCATCTCTAGATACATTCACTCCCAATAATGGACCCGGTCTTGTGTAGCCGCAACATCCCCGTCTCTCTTCTGAAACGAACCAACGCGACGAGATAGATGCTGAGACGGGACCGCGAGTAGTTGTTGTTGTTGTTGTTGTTGTTGTATTTAACGCCGTGGCGGCCGGGCTAGAGCCCTTACCGCAGACCTCCCGAAGGGTATATGGCGTGGAGGGCCGTGAGCCAAGGCTACCTACTCTACAGTACGTCGTCTCTTTACATCGTCCTCCAAATCATGCCTTGTGGCCACTACGCGTTCTGTCTGTCCCCGGTTCCCGCTGGTGCCCCAGTTTCATTCTTTCCCAAATCGTCCCTTGGAATCGGGAGGTTCTTTGTAGTCCGCACTCACATCTACCTAGGTGTGGATGCTGCTACCGCAGACAGATCTTCTGGAAGAAGTCCGTCACGCGGAGAAAGGCCTCGAAGCCTCGTGGGTCGGTGATTAATCTCTTGAAGTAGGCCTCGAGAGATCCCATAGGACCTATGGGCTCGGGCATACTGCGAGAGTGGAGGGTCGGCCACCGTTGCCTCCTCGCCAGCGTTAGTCGACAGTAGACCAGGTGGTCCACGTCTTTCGCCTCTCCACAAGAGCACATCATTAGAGCGTCGTCGTGGTTGAAACGTCGGTGATATTGCTCGAAGTCCCCGTGACCCGATCGTGCCGCCAGCAGGTGATGTAACGTAGCCCGCGGCAAGGCCAGTTCAGGAGGGCTGGACAGAGCTGCCTCAAGCCCCAAGTCCGCGTACCGCGGCCTTCGCTCTTTATACCACCATCTCCTGTGCTGGCTTTGTAATTTTTCCCTTGCAAGCCGCTTGATGCCCGCTAGTGTTGCCATTTGACCCATCCGCGCCGGCAGTGTCGTTCCTTCTTTGGCCAGCCGGTCCGCGGCCTCGTTTCCTTCGATGCCCTGGTGTCCCGGGGACCAGTGCGTCCGTATATCAAATATCCTGGCCGCTTCTTGGATTTCGAGGAACGCGTCTTGTGACGAGTCCGGCGCCTTGCCGCGGATGCCTTGTATAACGCTGGTGTTGTCGATACATATGTGGATTGGATGACCGCGATTGGTGAGCAGAGCCCTTCTGAGGCCGGTTCGCGCCCCTTCGACCTCGGCGTCGAACACTTCTGCTAGTCCGAGTCGGCCGCACCCTTGCGCTATGCGTTTGGAGTCTCGGTAGATGACGAAGCCGTACCCCACGGCTCCGTTCGTCGCCCTGGAGCCGTCCGAGAAGACGATCATATGGCTTTCCGGTACTGTCTTTAGCCAGCGCTCGAAAGCTTTCGCAGCCTCTTCTTTGCATTGAACTACTATCTGATCCTGTGAGCTTGGCAGGTACTGTGATTGGAGGAACGTTGGTCTTCCGCATCTTGGCAGAAGTTCAGCCGTCCGTTGTAGTCTCGTCTGTTGCTGTCCCTGCTGGGAGAGCCGCGCGACTAGCGGGTGTCGGCGATCAATCCTCTGTAGTCGGACTGCGGCCCGTAAACGGACGCCTTCTAAGGCGACTTTGGCTGACGGTAAGCCGGCGTCTCGGAGGAGGCTACTGGTTGGCGTTGTCCTCCAGACAGGTAGAACGATCCTTGCTGCCGCTGTAATGACGCTGTCGATCTTCTGCACGAGCCCCTTCTGGCCTGTGTTGACGGGTCTTCCTTGGAAAGGCGGACTCGTGTCTGTCTCCGCTTGGCGTCTCGAAGCCGGCTTCGTGATACCTGCGTAC